AGGTATTCGGCCAATCACAACGCATTGGATAGCTGGCCAATCACAGCTCACCTCGCTTTTTCAGACCGATGAGCTTTGTAAAAATCTATGCATTTCAGAAAGGCGGGGCATAGAGGAGAAACAATAATGTACAGTAAGTGGAAAATAATGTGTTTTTTTTGCTTTAAACCGCATAAACACATTTCATTACACCAAATACACAAAATAATGTTCTTTTTAGCAACATCATATGACCCCTTTAAGATATGAGGAAAACCAATCCAAGGTTAGACCCTGGATACTAGCCTGGTCTTTAAGGAGGTCTTTATGGAGAATGTCATGATCGACCATGTTGAAAGCGGCACTGAGATCTAACAGTAAAAGAACAATGGGACTACCAGAATCGGCACCTAATAAAATATAATTTGAGACCCTCAACAGAGCAAACTCTGTACTATGACCAGCTCTAAAACCTATGATGCCTACAGTCTTAAAAATAAAGGTTCTTTATTGGCATTGATGGTTCCATGAAGAAATTTTAACATCCACAGAACCTTTCCTTCCCACAAAAGGTTCTTTATAGTGGAAAAAGGTTATTTAAATTATTAAAATGTTCTTCACACTTAGAAAAAAAAGGTTATTTTATGAATTGTTTACTGAAAAGTTAGTTGGGGAATCCAAAAAGTGTAGAGTTTAAAATATGTTCAGATTTTTGAAGATGTGTATTGTATTCCAGCCTTTAGAACATGATACAAACCCACATTTTCTGAAAAGCATACAATACAATCTAATAATATAACCATAAACTGCATAGGCCCAACAATATGTAGTATTATTTACATGGCACATAAGCTGAAGAAGAACAGGACCATTTCAGTCTCTAAAGGTCTGTTGAATTTCAGCTGCCAGTAATTCACCAATAATTCAACATAAACCATGTTTATCCTTATTGCAAAATCATGTATTTAATCTAGTCTATTTTTTACCATAGTAGTTTTGTTTGTGGTTTCTGAGGATGTTGTGCAATATACTGTATGTTGGCATCTGTTTATTTTGGCTGCTTAATTTGCACCAAAACGCCATAGATTTGATTAGACGTATCCATCCCATAAACAACATAAGAAATGGGAAGTGTTTCGCCTCGATTTAAAAAAGTTGATAAGTCTTCTATTTGCTATCCACCTTATTTTTAAACTTAGAGTGGGTGTGTCCATTTGTAAAATAAATGTGCGCATTAACTTCCAGCTCAAAATTCTGGTTATTTTTAGCTGTACAAAACAGCTTGTTATGCTGCTTTATATTGCAAACAGGTATTTCTTATCATATTATATTTATGTCGTAATTATAAATACACTAGTTTGTAGTGCAAAGAGTGTTACCATTTACTGCACTTTGTTATTCTTCTAGTAGCTTACCTATAGCCAGAAATGAATCAGAAACTTTGCACATTCACAGAAAATAGCTTATGGATGCAATGCAATGATTATATTAGTAAGTTGCATTTTATTGTTTGCATTTTAAGAGCATCTTCAGCAACATTACGTTATTTTATCCTGTTGCATTAAATCGTGACAGCAAGATGAGAGGACGAGTGCGAACAGGCAAGTAACCACAGCCTCCTCTCTTAGCTTAAAAGTATTACAGCACTACACAGCATAATCAATAGACCATCTACGGCAAGCCCTCACTCCCACGAACACCTCCTCCTTAACACTCCCAAACATACCGTGCGATTACTCATTAGGCCTTTACCTCCAGCAGCCTTTGACCTGATGCTGCCCAGGGTCAGAGGTCACATGTCCTTGTTTCAAAGATTTGATTGGGCCGTGTTCTAATTACTGCTTTGTCATTGACATACCACCTCTCTCGCCTACCCTCTCTCTCTCTCTCTATCCCGCATCCCTCATGTTTGGTAGCCTTGTACAGGCATCATTTTGCCCTCCCCCATCAGCCGATTGCCTGCAGAGGCCATCGTAACGAGATGTCAGCCCACTATGAATTCTAATTTAGCTCGGGCCAGTCTATGTCAGTTATTTGTACCGTTCCACAGGATCATCAGCCTGCGGAGAGGCCATGTAGCGGCTCACCACCGCCGCGCCACTGATTACGAGTAAATTACTTGTTTTCTTCTCATTTTCGCTGTGTTTTCAGCACTTCAGCAGCAACATTACAGGGACAAATCCCAAATGGGCACTATGCAAAGGTTAATAATCCTGTTAATTAATGAACAAACCTGATATTGAGCATAACATATAATCGCTGAAGGATTACAACCCAAATTAGTAGAGTTGCGGCAATTAGACTGATGATTAACGTTTTAAGTGTGAGACTAAGAGCCTGTGCGCTCCACCATGGGTTGTAAAACTCATACTGTTGTTAAGGGAGGTTGTGGAAATGTTAGCGTGCGCATTAAGCGTGGTGCGCGCCGCAGTGTGCGCGCCCGGGGTGGCTGTGAAACGCGCAGTCCCAGCGGGGGCGAGCGGCAACAGCTGGTCCCGCTCTAGCCCGGTGCTGTGCGCAAAATGATCTCTCCATCAGCATGCGCTCGCATCTGTATTCATCCACGAGTCTTATCAATAAACAGACCACTGACAATTAGGCAAATCCGAGGGGGGACGAAACCTCCATCTACGAAAAACTCCAGCCGTACACTTTAATCACCGTTAATCAATAAAATGCCATCAGATCTTTTAATTAAAGTTTTATTTGTGGGGAATCGTGTCTGCGAAATGCGGTCTTTCCATTAATGGCAGCGGGATTCTTCGGCGCCACTGCTTGGCCGGTCACGCAGGGGATCCGTGGTTCTGTAATTGCATTTTGTCACCTACAGAGGGAGGTGAGGATGCCAGTTAAAGGTAGAGGGAAATCTCTCCCGAACAATTATTGTCGAGCAAATTACCAGGTAGGCAATATCTAAACTGTCAGGAGAGGTTAAGAAGAAATGGTTTAAGGAAATGAGGCGCTCAGCCGTTCATCATGGAGGCAGTGTCTGAGTCCAAATTGAAAAATGTCATTCTATCTACAGGAATTAGAGCATGTTAGCTTTGCTTATCACAGCCACTGACAGAGGATGGCGGAGAAAACTGTGTCATAAATGCTCTCTCTCTCTCTCTCTTTTCACTACGGCTGTCTGTCTGAAATAAAACCAAACAGTGTGAAACCGCTGGCTGTACGGAAGAGATTTACAGTGAACGAGAGAAGAAACCCCTCGATTCCCCCCTTAGAGGTATCAATGGAAAACAGTTTTGTAGTCACATGAGGGCTGTATGCTGCCATCTGCTTCATTCTCAGCGTGGTGCCTTTACACACACACAAACGGACTCACTCTGGTGCACATGCAAAAATACACAGACACGTGTACAAGTTTAATAAGGGTGAATACAATTTAAGGAATAAATTCAATTCGAGAATGAGAATGTGTTTATGCTTGACGAAAAGTTTATCCTTTTAAAGGACTGCAGTGTTGGCATGGCATTTAAACTGGAAATTAGGGTATGGTAAACCATCTCTGCAGCGTGGAGTCACTGAAGCAGTGGAAGTGTTTAAAGGGGTCATATGATGCTGCTAAAAAGAACATTATTGCGTGAACATTTGGGCGGCTTTATGCAAATCTTCCCACATAGTGAGGTAGGTATGTGGGGGCGTGTTCGAACGAGCCGTTTTAGGTAGGTGTGGCTAACTCTTAACTTTTATAAAGAATATCTCTTTGGATTTGAGACTTTAGTCTTTGCAACTTTACAGATCTTCTTTATGCACCAAGAGCTTGTAACACTCTAAAGAGAAAGGAAAAAATGAAATCGCATCATATGACCCCTTTAAGTCAAGAGACCTAGAATCAAATATAAACTAGCATAATCAGGAAGCTGGGCAGCATAACTCAGTAGAAATAATAAGTTATGCTTTAAGAACAAACATTGACATTCAATGAATTTATTTAAAACAGACTCAACTTTTCATATAGTTAAACAATCTGTACGTTTTAACATTGAGTTCCATGTGTTTTTTTAAATGGTCTTTTGACTAAATCTAAATCTTACATTAAATCTTACATTTTTAGTCCCTAAAAATAGACTATAGATAGTTAACCATTTAACAGGATTTTACTGTAGCATTTTTACAGTCTTTTACCGTTAAATTAATGGTCATTTTTTACAGTGTAGCACAAATCAAACCAGTATTTTTACATACTCCGCTTACAAAAAGTACTGTGGTGGAACCATGGTAAATTATGGTTTCAAAAGGTAATAGCTTAATGATGATTCTTTGATATAAAGGCCTACAAAAGTACTGAATGATTACCGTATTGTATACCATGGTATTTACATATTCCATGATACTTCATAGAATAACATGGAATTACCATGACAGACATCCAAAATACCATGAAATATACTCTTACGGTACTTTTTTCTTGGTGTATATGAAGAACATTGAACAAGCTATTCATTTGTTCATAATATTTATCGTGGTATGAATTGTGTGAATTTTGGCGTATGAATCATGCACTGGCCTCATTGTGCTTCTGAGTTGTATTCCTGCATCACTGAGGCTGCTAAGCTAGGCTAAGCACTAGCATTACTGTCCGTAGCCAGACAGACGGCAAGTTTCTCTGGACGTTTCTCGTTGGTGTTAACCCGGCGTTGAATTTGCTGTTGCCCAAATAGCACAATCGTGTTTTTATTATTGTTTTTCTGTGAAATCGTCCCATTTTGAGGTTTAATGGTGGCGTGGAGTGTTAGCGGTGAAACGGCTCTCTGGGGAGCAGAGCATCAGGCAGCTGAATTTCCACAGCCATTAAGCAGTCTCCATTCAATTAGAATGCATAGAATCCTGACACGCCATAACTTACAGTCCTCTCGGCCAACATAAAGCATGTCTATAGTGCGGCTCCCCGCTCTAAAAATACTGAGCCAATCTGACCGCCACTTTTATAGGAAGCTAATTACATCCTTGATTTTTTTGTTTCAGAAAATTAAACCTGGATTAATGGTTCACCTTATGCGAGGGGGAGTGTGGCCCAGGTTTGTGTGCTTAAATGCACAGATACAGTGAGGCAGGAGGAGGAGGGAGATGATTTTCTGTGAGGAGTCGCACAGCCTCAGACTCGCCTGCCATCAATTAGACCGCGTCTCAGACCAGCACTCTCATACCTCCACGTCTAATAAATTATGCTACGTATCAGAAATGGCACGGTTACCGATTTAAAAAACAGGATTGTGCCGGGGCGAGCCGTAAATATGAAATATGAAAGGCAACAAATTGAGACAGTCAATAAAATCTGAGATTTGTTACCAGGCTAAATGCTACTTGCAGAAAGGTGTTGCAGACAATCAGGAATTATGATGATAGAAATGGACTTTGATTGGTGTTTAATTTTTTCGCTGAAGTGGACGCTGCTTATTTACCATCTGATTAATTATGCCCCACTTCCGCCAAATACAGACATAAGTCCTAATACAGACGTTACTGTAAAAATCACCTCTTTCAGACTCTGAGATTGCTTTGGTTTATTCATTATTATTGCATAGAAATCTCATTTAAAAAGTTGCACCTTGCTGTTTTCCATTTTAACGGTACAGAAGACAGGGGAAAATCAATGTGCTTGGTGTATTTTATGCATACCCTTGTGAAAAAGTAAACTTTAGCATACTTGAAAAAGAGTATGGAAATAATATATTTGAAAAGAATATACTTAACTTTATATTATATTATAACATACTTGCATAATTATACTTAAGTGTGAACTGAATGTAATGTTGTTGGACATGTAATTGCAAGTTATTTACAATTAAATGAAAATGTTTAAAAGCAGTGCTTTTTTGATCCACTTAAAGGGATAGTTCACCCAAAAATGACAATTTTGTCATGATTTACTCACCCTCAAGTTGTTTCAAACATGTATGAATTTCTTTCTTCTGCTGAACACAAAAGAAGATATTTAAAAAAAAAAAAAGTGGGTAACCCAACAGTTGATGGTTGCCACTTTTTTTTTTTTTTTTTCATAATATGGAAGTCAATGGTCACCAGCAACTTTTTGGTTACCAAGCAGGTTTTAGAACAACTTAGGGGGTGAGTAAATGATGATAAAAATTTTCATTTTGGGGTGAACTGATAGTTCACCCAAAAATGAAAATTCTGTCATTAATTACTCACCCTCATGTCATTCCAAACCCGTAAGACCTTCATTCATCTTCAGAACACAACGATATTTTTGATGAAATACGAGAGCTTAGACAGAAATGCAAATGAAACATTTTATGGCCCAGAAAGTTAGTAAGGACATCATTATAATAGTCCATGTGACATCAGTGGTTCAACCGTAATTTTATGAAGCTACGAGAATACTTTTTGTGTGCAAAGAAAGCAAAAATAACGACTTTATTGAATGATTTCTTCTCTTCTCTGTCAGTCTCCGCCGCCATTCATGAGAGTACCACGACGCATGCGTGTACATTCCACTGTTTGTAACAAGGCGCAGCACATGCGTGTTCTACGTCAGAACGCCGGCTCCTGCATCAGCAGCACCACACGCATGCGCACACGGAAGAGAAGAAATTGTTCAATAAAGTAGATGTCTTATACCTTTCTGGGCCATAAAACGTTTCAGTTGCATTGCTGTCTATGCAGGGTCAGAAAGCTCTTGGATTTCATCAAAAATATCTTAATTTGTGAAGATGAACGAAGGTCTTACGGGTTTGGAATGACATGAGGGTGAGTAATTAATGACAGTATATAAATTTTTGGGTGAACTATCCCTTTAAGTACATCTATATATGTAATTGCATGATTAAATAATCTTTGAAATACTGCTGAATGTACTGAGAAGCATGTATAGTAAACTAAAATATACTTTAATGTCACTGACATTGAAACTTGTATGTCATGAGTTTAAATATACAGTATTAGTAATTGCACATTAGTAATGATGTTTTTAATTTAGTACATTCAAAACACATTAACATTAAATGTAATATCAACATACTAGAGATAAAATTATAATCAAGTATGTTACATGTGCGTTAGTAAGTTTGTCAACACATTAAAATAAGTGCACTGTACTTCTTTAAAGAATGACAAAAGGTGATTAAAACATAATTATTTAAAAGCTACTTTAGAGTTAAACATTTACATTATTACAAAGTGCACTTTAGTGTCATGAAAGTCACTTTTTGTTTTATTAATATTCTATTTTCTGCAAAGTACACTACAAATGCACATTCAATACAATTAAGTGCACTTCTTTTTCACAAGGTTATTAATGAAGCCAGAGTACTTTTCTGCAGTTTTCACACTTTTGACCAATACGATTTGGCCTTTTCCATGATGTATATACATAGGTTTTTAAATACAGGTTTATACATGTAGGTCTCCCAGCGGTTTCTGACCTTCTTTGCTTCTAATTACTTGTTACATAAATCTGTCCTGAAGCTTGAAATAAAAGCCTTTATAGGGCACTCACCTGAGCTCATGAAAGGCCTGCAAAGTGACTTTGATAAACTCCAGAGCAGCCACATTTGTTTGGAATTAGTATGAGCACACCTCGTGTGCATGTGTGCGTGTTCAGACCGGCTAGTGGATCACAGAACCAGGGATTTCATGGCTGGTGGCCGATCGCAGGTGAGCCTTCCTGCCATCAACAACAAAGTGTGGTCCAGTGTGTTCACGCTCAGGGGTCATGAGAGGTCACAGCCGCGGCAGGTTCTGACTGTCTGACAGATTAAAAAGAGGTGACGCTGAGCTGATGTTTTCTGGACCACCCCTATCTCCATTCTGTTTGCATTAATGTGAAGGGAGTTGGGTTTAAACACAGCCAGAATAGACAGAGCCATAAAACTAGACGCAATCAGATATGATGTAAAAGGCCAATGGGGCCAAATCGGACATGTTTCCATAGTGATTTCCACCGATTATAAGAAAGAAAACTAAAGCCAGGTGCAGGTCGTGAACAGATCTGGCAGCTTCAGGAATGGAAGCCTCTAGGAATCCCGCCTTTCAGTGGAAAGAGCCAAAAACCTTTTTTCTAGAACACTACTGGGCATTATTAACTGGGCCCAGCTACACACACACACACACACACATATATATATATATATATATATATATATATATTTGTAGGTGAAAAAGCTGACAAGATAAAGACAATACAGTTCAAAAGTTTGGGGTCGGTAACAACAACAAATGAAGCATCATTTATGAAACCTACACGTAATCTTGACAAAAAAAAATTGGAAATTTTCAAGCTGTACGTACATG